GCCACTGCGCAGGCGCAGGGGGGGCGCGGCGCGGGCGGGGCCCAGTTGTTAAATGGCCGCCAGAGCCAGAGCGCGTGGTATTAGAGCTAGGCTGCTTTCCTGTGGGAGTGTCTTTTGCTGGCTCCTCAAAGCTGTGAGGATGCTAGACAGCCTTCCGCTCAGGAGTAGAACTTTAGGTTCCGGTCCTCTCTCGGGGGGTGGTGTTGCCCTCGTTTGTGCTTCGCTTGAAGCAAGGGGTTCAAATGCACAAAGGCCGGGGGGCGGCAGCAGCAGCATCTCAGCCGTGTTGAGAGCATTTTTTAATCAAGCCGACACATGCTGGAGGAGGGCTGGGATTTTATGCAAAAAGTTGGGCCCTGTCCTATAGCACTAGCAGGTCACTAGTGGCTTCAGTGATGGTTGAACCATTTAGTCAGTATTCAAAAACTTGCAAAACACCAAGCTATGGGCTTTTTTTCCTCTTTTTTTTTTTTTTCTTTCTTCTTTTTAAAAAAATGCAAATTGCTTTCCTCCGAGGAAAGTCCTGGGTTGAGGAAATGGGGCATCCGTGTGCCATAAGAAATGCCTTATTGTGTGCGATGCTTCAGTTTGCATTTGTATTTTTGTCTGGAATGAATCTGGGTTCAAAGGGGGTGTAGAGGGAAGTAAATGAGGGAAGGATTTGGTTTCCTTCTTCTAAGTTGTCCCTCGAGGGATGAACTTAGCAAACTTCAAGTGTGGAAAGTTGCTATCCGGCAAGAAACCTAGCCAGTGACATTTTGCATTTCAAATGTAGTGGTCCCCCATCTGTTAAGTGCAACATATACAAAAGACGAGTTGCAAGAGCATGCTTCAATGTGTTAGAATTGCACCAACCCTACAAAAACTAGCGTACAGAAAAACATTCTAAAAAAAACACACTAAAGAAAGTTACCATTACTAATATGCCATCAATATTAAAATATCAATGTAATGATGCATTTAATGCAACATTTAACTTTTACATTTAACATTTTAATGCAAAATATAGCAGTAGCACCAAGGGTGCACATAACCAAACAAGCTTAATGGTCCTACTCTATTCTTGGGTCGTCTTTGAGAGGGGAAATGGTTTCATTAAAATCTAGGGCACTGTGTGTTGGTGCCTGATGGCATTCATGTTTAAGGTCCTCTAGCTTGGAACCTGTGAATGAATTACAGGTAAATCCTTTTTTATAAGTTTCTAAAAATAATGCTAAGGATGTAAGAGTGTCAATGAGCTTGGAATCTTAATGAGCCAATACTGACTTATTTTTTGACCTCAGCCAAACCACTTAATTTTGCTGTGACTGACTTTCTCCACCTATGAAATGGGGATTATCCAAATAAGGCAGAGAAAATGTTGAATGGATATTCAGCATAAGCAGTCATTTAATAGGGAAAACACAAATGTGGAGAAGCACATTGTACTATGAACGATCTTCAATTAGCTGTGACTTCCTTGGTTGAATGCATTTATGTAGGTAAAAGATACTGCAGAAAGAGTCCCTGGGCTGATAAAAGCCTATCAAGACGGAGTATAAATTATCTCTTAATTTGTTTTTAATGAGTTTATGATGCTCCAAGTACTTGGACTTGGATTCAGTAAGGGGGGTTAGCAATATAATGTTCCACGTAGCATTCTTCAAGCCTCATATTTGTGAAAACATTCACTATTGATATGTTTGGAAAGCAAGCCTCGATCTTTCCTAGACCAGATGTGTAATGCAGGCCTGAAAAATACATAACAAAACCCAGAAAGAGAGGAACAGCAAAAAGTAGTAGAGATAGGTCTTCATTACAGATTTCTATTAAGTACATCATTGCTTTTTAGCCTGATTGTGAAGATTGAGTATTTTTATGATGGAGTATTTTTGATCACACTTGGTTGGTGTGAACTTCTATAATGAGGAACAGTTAGGAAGTGCAAGTGCACTTGCTTTTAGTCCTGCTTCTTGAAAGCCTCTTTTAGAAGCCTCATTAGAGATGGCAGACCTTCAGAATCTCTATTTAAGACATTTTTAGCAGCTGTGAATTGTGTTAGAAATCCAGGTGGCGCGCAATTCAAAGCATTTGCTGACAGTGTAGAACCGGTCCATCAAAGTGCCTCAATTTAACTGTGATATAGAATATTTGAAAGAAGAGTCAATACTATAATAGAGGCACAGAGAGGCTTCAGTTGGTTAGAGACACTGACAAGTTAAAAGTATTTTAATAGAGTCTAATTACCTATTTTATTAAAGTTAATACCTTTTATTTAAGGTATTGAAATGGAAATAAATATTAAAATCTTAATTTTAACCATTAAGACTCTTCACTTTTTCATTTCACTCAACTCAGAGTAGAGAAAGTAATTTTTACTTTCATTTACAGTCAGTTGCACAATTGTTCAATATTTGGATTGCAAACACTGTAGAGGAATTTTATACACTTTTAAAAAATGCTGTATTATTTTAATTTTAAAAGAACAATATTTCATAGATTTCATAGACGTTAGGGCTGGAAGGGATTTCGAAGATCAAGTCGAGCTCCTTGTAATATGTACAACTATTATGGTTATTTTCACTTAGGATTAATATAAAATAAACATGCCAAAATGTAGCATGCAGTAGTATTACAATACAGTCCTTTTCTTACTCAAGGGCTCAGTAAATTAAGATTATTTTGCACATTGAGTTATCTCAGTATCCCTATTTCCATCTTTCTTTCCTATTGATATGCCTGTCTCTGCCAGGTAATTCCAAATGTGTAGTTGTTGGATCATTTTCCTTTTCCACCATTCTGACAGGTATTTCAAACAGCTTCCACTCTTGTGGAAAAAACATCAAGCTGCTATCCTACTTGATAGGCATGCACTGGCCAGCGATTCTGCTCACTTCGACAAGTTCTCCTTTCTGTTTTGTCCATGTATGCTGTTTGTTTTTCTTTTTGTTGCCCAAGCACAGCTTTATGATGTTTAAATACTGTGTGTACCGTGTCTAGCTCATTCTCCCTATTGATACTTGAAGTTCATCTCCTTTTAAAAAAATCTGAAGCAATCACAACACACCTCTTGTTCATTCTATTTTGTATGGTACTGCTCACATACTGATTAATTCAGGGCAGAGATTTTTATTACTTGTTTGATGTGGCTCACATATTGTGCAGCTTCATGTACTTTTCTGAAGTAATATAAATTACAAAATGATTTTATAACTACTTGAAAACCAGACCTGGGAGATGGTAATAAAAGTGCTGAGCCAAATGTAGCTGTCTGACTCCTGCTTGACAAAGACTCAGAGCTCCATCTCTTTTCAGATACATAGTAAATGCCCAACATATATTAAGAGCTAACATTTGAACACCCAATGGATTCACTGCGCCCTTTAAAAAAATACTGAAAGACATTTTTATTGATTTTGATGGAAGAGAGTTAGTGTACTCTGATCCTGCCCCTCCTAATCAGAGCAACAAACTAATAGCTATGTAATTGAAATATTGTTTACTAGGCTTTTTAAGATTAGAAAGGATATCATTAGTTTATGAAATCATATTCTTCATTTATGGAGTTGTATAGTAGCCTGCAAAAAACTCCTCTATTTCATCACTTCCAGTGCCCATCCCAACTTACTCGTTAGGGTACTTTAGCTATGGTAGTAGCAGTTACCTGGGATCCTATCACTTCTTTAGCTCCCTTGTATCTGTGTTCCCTTATTCCTTGGTCTGCTCATTCTTTGCAGGACTCCTCACTTCATTACTTGACTGTGTCTCCATAGTTACAACAGCGACCTCTCTGCAGCCTTAGAAATCACTGCAGACTCCCTGTTGGAACACTGGGGGAACTTTTCCCCTCTTCAAAAAACAACACATCCCTGCTCCCTCCTTTACTGCTTCATTAAGGTTTCTGTTGCTCATCCAGGTGCAGTGTTTATCAGCCTCCCCATCTCCCTGAGACTACCCAGGTCCCACTTTCTCCCATAAAGCATCAACTATTGTATCCCAACAGCCATGGAACCTTGGACCCCACCATTCTGCCTGACCCCTTTCAAATGGTGCGTTGCCCAGCAGAGATGTACTACTAATATTTCCTCTGCTCTTTCTGCTACTTTGCCTCTGGAAATAAATAAATGAATAAGCAAATTAGAAGAGTTTTGAACTTAAGGGCTCCAAGTTAATGGGAAAGGACTAATTCAGTGGGACAGGATTTTTTGTTTGCTACTATGTAAGAGTGGCTGTGGGTATGAGCAGAAAACTTCTTTCATGGTAGGGAAGGCAAAGTATTCTATAGCTGGGTCTAAAAATTGGGCGTCCCAAACTAGAAATATGGGAAGGAGTCAGGAATTTTAATCAGAAGACTGAATTCCTTCCAGTGCAAAGAAGAAAAATGCTTGAGAATTGCCTAAAAATAGAAAAGAAGTGTACCTAGAGATGCTCTCATTTGAGAAAAAATAACTGAGCCTGACAGCTTTAGTGTATAGTTTTATTTAAACATTTAATTAAATGTTTTATTTAAAATTATGATTGCTTTCTTACTATTTATATACACACATTTCCCATCAAGAAGTTGCATACCTCCTATTTCAATCCTCAAGTGATTCTGTATTTGTAAAACATGTAGACAGTCTAAAGAAATGTGCTAATATGTTATTAAAGATCTAGAAACAATTTCTAAGTAGATCTAGCAGCTTAACTAAATTTCATATTTTACAAGGACCAACTGAGAGATGCACAAAAGCAGGACAGGTTATAACAGAACAAAGAACTTGACATTAGTGAACTACTGGTAATTCACACTAATGATTCAGTAGCAAATTACTGACTTTGATAACTTTTTCACCTGGTTGACAAAAAAAAGTATGGTTTTATTTATAATA